TTGAATCAAAACAGTTACAATAAAATATCGACGGTCTCTTCTTATGTTTTGTGATGATAGATAATCCGGATGAAAATTTGCAAATTTAATTAATTAAATTTCATATTATTTTTCTTAATAAGGAATTAAAATATTATTAAGAATTATTTATTGGTTTATAGTATTGCGAATTTATTATAATTTAAAGTATTATTATAGATTATACATATATAATATGCACCATAAGTTAGTATTATATATGTAGACCACATGTGAAATAAATATAGTACATGGCCTATCATAAGTGATTAAAATTAAAATATTATGTGTACATATATTTATATGGGAATTCTTTAGATAAACACTTCCATATATGCTACTTATGTTAAAAAAAAATATTTTTTTAATTAAAATAATTAAAATGTCTTCAGACTTACCTTGACATTTAGGATTAAGTCTTTATACAATGCTCTAAATAGAAAATTTCCGAATGTATTGTGTTTAGTCTATAATCACTCAAATTTTTATGGAGATTTTATTTAATATTATTGGAGCTATTAAAATCTATGTATTTCTGAAAATTTTTAAAATTATCGTGTCTCAGACGCGTATTTAATAAAACACATTATACTTGAAAGCCTAAAATTTATTTTACATTTTTTAATACATCCCTTAGTTCTACCATTGTGTATACTGTATATCAATATAAACTATATACACAATGATTCTACAAATTTGACTGCCATATTTTTCACATGAAACGATATTAAACAAATTTTGTGCATGTGTTTGAAAATATGTAGAATAGAATAAGTACCTAAAGATACATTGCATAAAAAATGGGGTTGCCATAATGGACATTTTATGTTTTGAACGGAAACTTTTATCTTTTTGTAAAAATTATAATATTGCATTGAAAATTAGGAAAAAATTGAGAATTTTTTAACGTTTACATGAAAACTAATACAATTTTTAGAATAGATTTACAGCCAAAAAGTAGAATTTCGACCAGTAAAGAAAAATGAATATAAAAATCAGTATAACTTATCAATACAACTCTAAATGTAAGCTAATGTCTTCCAGTAAAAGTCTGCAATCACATTAACACAAAATTATTGCATAGTTTCCTTAGTTTTTTCTGTTATTTAAAATAAGCATGTTGTATGCCTATTTACAATCTAGGCAAATATTACATGGATATTGTTTATTTTAATTTCAAAAAATAAATTGATTATCATAATTTCACTCTAGTTTTAGTTTTAAACCTAAGTATCTGGTTATACATAATAATACTGTCTCATTTTCAAATATTTTAGTATTTTTATTAAAACTTTTGTACTTCTTAAATTTTGACTACTGGCTAGCCTAATCAACAATCACTTATGCGATAGTGTAGTAAAAAAATTATTTTTATTTCAACTGTATTAAGACTGATATAGTAATGTATGACTGCTTGTTTATAGATGTGTTATATCTCGGTTAAGTGTAAATTTGTATTGTATGTGTGTATATTAATATTGAAGAAAAGAATAAAATTGTATTAACTATAAGAGAACGTAATATGCTTTGAATTTCATGAGAATTTTTCTTACAGAATTTTTGTTTTGAAAATATAAATCACAGATTGTTTATGCAAGAAATAGTATAAAGGAGCGATAGACGTGGAAGAAATCATACTTACCTGGCGCAGAGGTTTTCCGTGATCAACAAGGCGGATCCTCCGAGGTGAGGTCTTGTCATTGCACTTGGACGAGATTGACCCTCGCGATTATTCCTAATGCGAATAACTCGTGCGTGTAATTTTTGGTAGCCGGGAATGGCGTTCGCGCCGTCCCGACAGAAATATTTCAAATAAATATAAGATAGTGTTTATGATCTAACTATTATTACACAATTATGTTAGTATATTATTGTCTTAAAATATACTAAATAAATAGTATATTATTATAGCTACTAGGTGTTATAGGAAATTGGTGTGCATCTCCTAATCTTGTTGAAAATTGAGATGTCTTTGGTATATGTGAGAGTTTGCAGCAATTATTACACTTTTAAACTTTCAAATATTACACTTTTTGTATTGGGTACAGATTACATATTAATATAATTCTAACCATGGATTTGTTTTTTGAAGCTTTCTGGAATTTTTTCCTTGAGCTCCATTTACGATTTCTAGGTTCTGGAGCACACGCGACCCGCGCTCTTATTTTGTACCGCTACATCATATCTATAATACTTTTTTATGATTAAGATTTAGGATATAAAATTTTCAATTTTTAACTTGTAATAACCCCAGCTGGAGATGAAATTTCCGTTAAACAAAATACACGGTGTATTAATGATGATATGTAATACAAGTAGAGAGTATCACTTTTTAGTTTGGCGTACCAATGTACTTCTTAAGAAACATCACATTTTCCATCCTTGCTAGACTGTACATATAACCGGAATTAAAATACTCCAAGAAATAATACGTTGCAGGTAACATGTTTGGAAATTTTTATAAATCCTCTGATTCAAGCTGTACTAGAATAGTAATTCTTTTTCTTTCTTTTAATTCCTTAACCAAATATTTAATTAACATTTTAAAAAATTGACAATTTGGTGATTTGCTTTTACTGTTTTTTTAATATTACGTACATATGTACATAAAATTTTGGGAGCAAGGGTTCGATTCCAGTTTTTGCGATTCAAAAATAATATTTATTTTTATAGTTTTTAATATATAAGAACTATTTTCTTCCATTTTTTAAGAGTTAACAATTTATAAGAAATTAATTTTTAAAATCATTAACAAATAAGACAAATCGAAATCATTTGTGTTTGTATGCAATGTTTGTGTATACGAAAGAATAACATTCAAATTTTATCAACATTGAAAAAATGTTGCTGGGAGTTTTAAAAGTTATATTTAAATTGAATGAATTAAAGTTTATAAATATTTGAAAAATGTTGCTGAGGATGTTAAAAGGTATAATTGAATTGAGTATGAGTCGGGTTGCCGAATGCCAAAATTGAACTAATTTTTTGTTGGAAAATTGAATGAATTTTTCTCAATTAAATTTATTATTTTCTCAGCACATTCTTCTTGTTCACAAAAGGTGTTGCTTTAATTTTCAGAATGCGATTATTCTTTAGCTGTTATAACTGTAAATTGTTGTTTCATAAGTTCAACAAGTGCAGCAAGTTTGAAAACAATATAAAAATGTAAACATGCATCACATTTTAGTTGTGACTAAAACTTTAATTTCTTGCAAAATCCAGTATATTTCCTCGATTGGAATTACTTTTTACCGTCGTAATTGTTTAAAAAGGAAAAAATTAGTCCACCTGCAACTAACTTAGCCTTAAGGCGAGGAAACAATAAATCCACCTTGAACAAATTATAATGGTTAAATTAGTATACTACCTACTGGAAAATACAAAAACTACTGGAGATTTCTTAGAAGTAAGTTTTACAATTTCTATTATAAAATAGATCGGTTTAATTTTGTAAAGGCTTTCATATATTTGTTATGCTCGAAAATACATTAACATAATATCTTCAATAAGAAGAAATTTAGGTAGGTATATAAATGTATGCATGGGTGTGTGTACATAACTGCATATTTCAAATTTTGTAGGTGGGCAAAGAAAATAAATTGTTGTTATAATCAAATTAAAATTTTTGCACAATAAGATTAAAATTAACGCTTAATCAATCCAATAATTAACACTTAATCTAATTCTAATTCCGTTTTAGTTACTGCTATTTACTTACATTAACTGTAATATGTACTACTGGCAATATCAGTTTTCAATTTTGTATTTGATCCAACCGAACGCTGATGAATTGTGATGTATTTATATATGTACATATGTTTATTTAAAAATATTGTTGATTCTGGTACTGAATTTCACATTGAAATCTTTCAGTATTAGTATATAGCCCCGCCACTCCATGAATAAATAGATATTTAATTAAATTCTTAGTTCGAAGTGAAAAGTTAATTCAAGTAACTTAACGAGTTTTCCAGTAAAATTGTGTAGCTACCTATAGTATTCACTGAAAGATGATGATTAATTTAACACAAAATTTGAATTTTACATACTTTTAAAACAAAAGTTTTCACTTAAAACTATCTTGTTAAAATAAGTTCTAAGAAAGTGGTTCTAATTTTCTTTTTTCAAAATTTTATATTCTTTAACTTTTTGAAGTTTAATGATCGCAATTATTTTAAAATGACAACTGTTATTTTAAGATGACTTTTTGTGTGCAATTAAGTAGTGCAACAGATGTTCAGTGAACAGTATTGTAAACTCAATATAGCGGCTCCATTGAACAAATGGATTGTGATTTATGAAATAACATAACATATTTCATTCAAAATATGACGGATTATGTAACCTGACAGTTCGATCGGCGCATTACTGTACACATTAAAATAATAATATTTGAAATCGACTTGAGTTTGATATTAACAGCTGACAAGCATTATATTATAATTTGTTATTTTCAATGTTTCAATTCGTCGACTTTCAAGTCATGCTAATAATTATATCGAAAAATTTCTATCGAAAAGTTCTTTTCTATCGAAAAGTTTGACTAATACAACATTTTAGTTCGCTATGATATTCGAAAATATAACTACTTAAACGCTAGAATTAACCTCCTTATATGTCAGCATCAAGCGTACTTAAAGCATATTTTATGTTCATATGGCGGCAAAAACAAAACCAAAGCCGTGAATGGCAAGCGAACGAGTCTCGCTTTTAATCCACAACAAGAATGGAAAGGCAAAACACTCAAACCCACTATATGAACGAGAACGAGAAATGTTATTAAACCATTTTGACAGCTATTTTTTATCAAAATCTGAAATAGGAAAATTTTTAAAATGTATACACCCCTGTGTTCTTAGCTACCAGGTTTCAGTATAGCGAAAAAAACCACAAAATTTAAATTTCCTATTTTTTTGGTTCAACTTCAGATTTAAAGTAATTTGACAGTTTCACTTTGACACAATATGACATGCCATGTCGAGTATGTTAGGTTATTTGTCCAAAATATGTGGTGAATTAGTTTTTTTGTTGTTTAGCTTTTATTAAGCAAATTTGTTCTTGTTAACATTTTTGATTAATATTTAATACGTGTAATATTTTTAAATTTAATGAGTTTTGTAAATATAAATAAAAAATATGAGTGACGATTATGATATTTTCGAGGAACAGCATAAATCTCAACTCCTTAGTTGTGCTATACCGGAACATTTTTGGCGCTCTTTACATAAAAAATTGAAAGCAGAAACATTCGATGCTGGACTATCATTTACCTTAATGGTGGTAGATAATAATGATGTACCTGTTCTTGAAACTGACCCAGTGTTTGCTTTATATGTATCAAAAGAAGAAGGAATATATGCCAATGATCCAAATGAAATATATTTAATAGATCATGCTTGGACATTTAGAGCTAATCAAGTACGACCTCAACTAGAACAAATGCCCAATCTTGTTAGTAGAATGTGTGCGTTTACAGGAGTTGATGTAGAAGATCCAAATAGAATGGAATTACTAGAAAAACGCATTTGGAAATATTGTCAATCTTATTCTATACAGTCTGAGGGAGTTCCTATAGAAAATCAAATGCCAATCTGGTACATAATGGATGAAGTTGGATCTGCTGTTAATCACAATGACAATCCAAATTTTAGAATCGTTCCCTTTATTTTTCTACCTACACAGACAACTTACAGTTTAATGTTTCCTATAGTTGACTGTCAAGAAGGAGATCGGGTAAGAAGAAACTTTATTGAAAATATATCCGAAGACGAAAAAATACGAAAAGCGTTGTTGTTACCCTGGAAGCATACAGATTTTACAAGTGAAAGTTTTGAGCAAGAAGAACCAAAAGAAGAATATTTTACCACTGGGCATATTCCTGAAATTTTACCTAAAAAATTCACTGAAGGTTGATAATATTATAAAAAATATAACCATGTTCAGTATAATTTTTATTTTGTTTTATATTACAGGTCCCAAATTGAACCGTGATGGACCCTTGAAAGTATATACAGAATACGAAGTAGTCGCCGAAAATCTAAATTCTTCATATTTTGAATTAGTTGATGATCCCAATGTAGCAGATATTCTTTGGCTTACTAGCCATTTTAAAAATTATAAGGAATTGCACGAGAACTTTCCAAATAGATTTATAAATCAATTTCCGTATGAATATGTTATAACAATAAAAGACTTACTATCAATAGTATGTAAAAGAAGATCAGACAAACATCATGATTCAGATACTTTAGAAACATACCCAAAATGGTTACCTACAACGTACAATTTGAAAACGGAATTAGTAGAGTTTGTTTCATATTTTCAACATCGTCAAAATAAAAATTTAGATAATCATTGGATAATAAAACCATGGAATTTAGCCAGAGGTTTAGACACTGAAATTACATGTAATATATGGAAAATAGTGCGAATGCAAACTACAGGTCCTAAAATTGCACAAAAATACATTGAAAATCCCGTTCTTTTTTATCGAAATGATCTTGAGGAAAAGGTGAAATTTGATATTCGTTATGTTATTTTATTAAAAAGTGTCCAACCACTTGAAGCATATATTCATCGAAAATTTTATTTAAGATTTGCCAATAAATCTTTTAGTTTGGATAATTTACATGATTATGAAAAACATTTTACAGTAATGAATTATAATGAAAATACCTCATTAAAACATATACGTTGTGAAGAGTTTGTGCAAATGTGGGGTGAACAATACCCAAAAAATAATTGGGATACTATTGAAGAAAATATTTGTAAAATGTTTCATGAAGTTTTGTTGTGCTCCATTGAGAAGAAACCTCCATGTGGAATTGGGGATTTTAAACAATCACGTGCATTGTACGCAGCTGATTTGATGCTATCATGGGAGGGTGAAAATAATATGCAACCCAAATTGTTAGAAATTAATTGGATGCCAGATTGTAAAAGAGCTTGTGAATACTATCCTGACTTTTATAATGATATATTTGGATTATTGTTTCTAAATGAAATGAATTCTGAACAATTCAAAATTGTTAAATAGTAAAAACTTGTTATTAAAATTTGTTTATACAACTTTCATATTTTCAAGTTCGATTTTTTTTATTGGTGTTTGAAGGTAGTTTTTAAAATATAAATTATAAAGAGGTGCAACTTACATTTTAAAATAAAATTGCCGTAAAAACGTCGTGGAAATGAAAACTTAAAATTTGAATTGACTTTTCCATTACAATTCCGTTTATAATGTCCATGTTAATTATACCGTATGAATTTTGTAGAATTAATACAATTTTGAAATCGCGGAAAGGGTCGAAGACCAAAAACATTTTTTCCATGAAAGTTTTTTTCCTTGTTGAAAAATTTTTTGAATACATAATTTCACAAAATCCTGTTTTGCATCGTAATTTGGTTTATTAATTAAAAATTCAAAAAATTATTAAATACATAAAAAAGTTAAAAATGTATAAAGAAAATTAGGCAATATTGTCAGTCACTTTAAGGAATGCATAGATTATTACACTTAAATTTTGATAAATCAATTTTGTTTCTGCTTAGTTTGGCCACTATTTCTTTTTTGATTTTTGGTCATCTTTAGTTTTCTTTTTCTTTGTAAGAAATAGGGCACAATTTACACCTACTAAAATTATAGCAAGTCCAAGAGCGCCATATATTACAAGATTGGGGTTCGCAGCTATGAATTCTTTTACAAGAGATACAATATCAGCCCTATAATTAAAAAAAATTGTGTAAATATGTTAAAAAGACATTAGTTTACCAATAATTACATTGGATCATTAACAGCTGGAACGGTTTCTGCAGAAACTTCTTTAGCGTACCCTTGTTCCGCAAATTTAATCAAATCTTTTGGTGTGTATTCGCTAGATTTGTATCGATAAAATTTACCTTGACGAATGCTATTGAATGATCAATTGTTATAATTATCATAGATTCATATTGTTTAATAAAAACTTACAATATAAATTCGGGAGCTTTTTCAATTTTGAATCTTTTTGCGGTTGCAATTCCAGATTCTTTTCTATTAACTCGAGCAACATTCATTCGGCTTTTTAAATTTGCTGCAACAGCTTCCCATATAGCGTAAAGTCTCTGACACGGAACACATTCTGATGAATAGAAGAATATGAACCAATCACCTGTTGTAGCACCTGTTGCTGCTTGCGTTAAATGTTCAAAATTTGCATCAGATAGTTCTTTGGCAACCGGTTCACGATTCTCAGAAAAATGCATTAATATTTCGTCCTCATTTACATTTCCGTGGTAGAGTAACGGAATTCCTTTTCGGAACATGATCAATGCCGGTTCTTTTGTTGGATCGTAAATACTTACCATTGGACTATTTGATATTTTAACAACATCGGCATTAAGATTTTCTTTCAAATCAACTTGAAGGTTTTCGATAGCAACTTCGTATTTTTCACAAGCGGCACAATTATTTTTTGCTAAAGTTATACAAAATAATAATTATTTGATAGAAGACTTAAATGTTTAAATTATGTTTTTAAAATTTTAAACATTAAGAATTTTATCATTTTTAACATTAAATTTGTAAAAAATCATAGCAGATACTTACTAAATAACACGACAACCGGGTTTTCTCCTTTTATCATATGAAGTAAATCGGTTTCATCGACACTTTCTAAAGATGCTCCATAAATTGGAGACGTAACTAAAGTTATTATTAACAAAAATTTCCGAATCATTTTAAATAAAAATGATCTTTTTAGGTAACTTGATAAACTAGATGAATTACTCAGAAATAAATTGCCGGTGCACAAAAGTCAAGGTCAGAAACTTTTGCCAAATGGACATGAAATAAGAAAAATAGGAATAGCGTATTAAAAGATGTTTTCTTTTTTTATCTTTGTATTAAAAATAAATAAAATATTGACATTTATAATAATGGCATTTGAGTGTTTTCTTTATACGTGAGATGCTCAAACTGCACGATTGAACTATGGCAACACTATGTGGTCATAAATCGTAGCACGTCACGTAAGCGATTAAATTTTTTTTTTAAAAATAATTTGAATTTTAATTTGATATAGCTTTTATGGAACATTAAATAACCTGTTTTGGTAAAACATGTTATAGCCACCACAAAAATTTCATAAGAATTCTTTTCAAAATTTATTTGTTAAATTAGAATCAAAAATTATTTTTTTGACAGATTCATAAGAAAAATATCACAAAATTCATATGAAACTCACAGAAATTTCTTTTTGTTTCATTTCAGTTAGCTGTTCAAAAAATTTATTTCGAATTAAAAAAAAAAATATTTGCGTAAAAACTATAAAGCTAAGTATAAAAGGAAATTATCAATTTGAAATTTTATGTATTATTTAAACTAAATAATTATGTTTTAATTCTCTTAAATATTTGCATAGAATAAAAGAACCAATATTAAATAGAAATGAATTACAACAAAATTTTAGATGTATGTACATATTACGTTATATAATATATATAAAAATTTTTTGACAGTTCAAGTTTGGTTCCATCCATATTCAAAGAAAAATTTTGGAACATATTCATTTGATTTTTTATTTTGGACACAAACCTTCTGTGTTTTAAATCATTTTTAGTTCCAAGTTTAAAAAAATATGCTCTTTTAGGCGCTGTGGTAGATGAACACGTGTAAGCCATCTACTTGAAATATATTTTATCTATGCATAATTTTTTTAATTTTTCATAACCACTGATTCAGAAAAAAAATTTGGCTCATAACTTCAAAGCCTTTTCAAAAATCAACTTATACCTAGATTAAAATGAATTTCTGTTACAAATACATTTATCATTTAATTTCAGGGGTGACTCTTTGATTAATTTTTAGCAAGATATCGTATGAGTGGTAGCAGATATACCCATTTTCGAGGTACTGCCTGTTAAAAAAAAGGTACCAGATTTTCCTGCATATATGTATAAATAAATTCTAATAACAATTGCGCGTAACATTGGTGCAAAAATACCATTTAAAAATACTAAAGAACCAGAACTATATCAGTTGTCGCCGTGTCAACTCTGTGATAGCTGTATGAATAAATGATTAAAAATGTTGGAGATAATTGTTTATACAATATCTTATTAACTAACGATTTAAATTAAAACAAAAAAAAAAATAGAGCAATATACGATTCATTTTATAATAAATTATCCGCGAACTAAGCCGATTCCATAAGAAGCGTTTTTGTTATTCTGATGAGGTACTTACCTATGCAAAATGTGTGATGTCAATTGAAAATCTGATAAATAACTTAATGTCATTAAGCTATTAACAAAAGATAAAAATTTTTCGTTGGCTAGAAAAAAATCACAGCAATTTTAAATACTTGTGTCAGTTCGTATATGAACGTTAGACCGCTAACATTGTTTAACGGTGAAAATAGAAGTGATGCAATCTTCCTTTTAATGCCGTTTGATTAGTGTGCGACTAATAATTTGGAAATCATGCTCTGAAAGACAAGAACCATTTTCAAACATAGTTTGCAATTAAACTATAGATGAGATACAACGTTGTTTTATTAACTTGTTTTAGAAAAATTATACTTAATATACAGGGTGATTCAGAAAGGTATACAAAAACATATATCATTCGTTAGAGGATCGAAAATGGATAAAACATTTGTTCCGGACTAGGCGCCAAATCTCAAGGGTTTCCAAGTTCCAGGAATTTTAAAGAATTTTTGATTAAAACTTTCGTTCTGAAAAAGATGGGGACTTCAAATAAACAGTTTCTAAAAGACCTAGTAAAGTGCTAAAAATAAACATGTTGCTTGATTCTGCATTTTAATTTGATTAGGCATAATCAAATTTTTACCTTGTTTTATTTTTTCAGTTTTTTCTAACTGGATAATTTCGTAAGAAATTTTTTAAAACCTTGAAAATTTTTTTTATATAATTTTTCCCAGCTGCTTAAACCTTAATATTTTGAGCCACAAATTCAATTAAAATCAACCAGATGTTGATAAAACTAAAATTAAATTCAATTTAATAGTTCTTTATTAAAAATTTTACAAATTTCTCAAAACAAACACCAGGTTTTCCTATGAAATTCACCTTATTCGGAAAAAATTTATGTTTTTCTTCTATTCAATCGCATATTTCAAGTTAATTGCTTTACTAGAATTCCTCTTTAGTTGCATCAATCCTATACCAGTTTCAGTTTTTTTTAAAAATATGTTGAAAATTTATTAATTCCCTTAAATTATTTATTAACTATTTATTAGCTTAATAATGTTAATACCATATAATTTAAAAACTCCATTTTGTATAAAAAAATTAAATTTTCTTATTAAAAAAAATTTTTTTTCAAATAAAATAAATGTCAAAATTTATATGGCATGTCTTTAAAAAACGCTCCAGTTGGAAAATTTTAATAATTTCAGATGCCAAATGGTGTCTAGATTTCGAAAATAATTTTTTTAAATTTTTAAATTGCACCCAATCTGAGAAAAATGCATTCAAAAATTTCAAAACATATAGGTACCATTTCTTACAAAAATTGGCAAAAATTTCTTACAAATTTACCAACAAAAAAAAATTTTTGATTACTAGATTTTTTTTTGTTTTTCCTAATACAAAAATTATTCTTTTAAAAATTTAAAATTTTTTTAAATCAATTTTTGTTTTTCAAATTAAAAGTTTGTATAAAATTTTGTTTCAATTTTATTATTATTTGTTAGATTTCAAGAATAATATTAAAATTCAGATTTTTTACAAAAAGAACGTGATGTTCATCAAAAATTAATGATACGAGTAGTTAATAATTACAACGCTTAAAATCCTTGCCTTTAAAGGTCTTTAAAATCTTGACATAGAAATGATTTTTGTGCTATATATTCTGTACCATAAAAAATTTTGTAGTGTTCGAGGACTTAAATTAAAAGGTGAGCAAGCAGCTAGAAACTCTATAAAAAAATTTCTTACGAAATTATCTGGTTAGAAAAAATTGAAATAATAAAACAAGGGAAATATTTGATTTTGCCTAAAGTTCGAATGTTTTGTATTCCGAAGATACATAAAATACAGATTAAGCAACACGTTTCTTTTAAGCCCTGTACTAGACCTTTCAGAAACTGTAAACTAAAGCAAATGTTTGAAATACATAGTAAACTACCTATGTGTAGTTACATACACACATGTACTCGTACATATTATTTATTTTACATAAAACAAGTTCCAAAATGACAAATCTTTGGATAATATAGTTTTTGCTCGTGATTTTCTATTTTAGGCAGAAACTAGGAAACTATTTAGGCAGTTTAGACAGCCAATAGTTGTCAGAAACCAAAAGTATTACCATCTGATGGATCAACACTATCATTTTAACTCATTCATAATAATTACGTCTGTATTATATGCTGCGTTCACGAAGAAGTATCTCTTTGATAATACTAGAGCGCCAATTCTTTTTGTGACAATATTTTAAACGTTAAACACATTTTTATAGAATGTTCTGTTACGATGGATTTTTTGGAGTTCTGCTACAAAGAATCCGATGAAATTTTGCTTCCGATAACTGTGAGTACCGATTTCATTAAGAGCATTTGTGATTTATTTAATATTTGGAATATGATTCAATGAACCCTGTTAGAAATAACAAGTAAAATTAAAAATATTAGAATTGTTAATTAAAACAAAACTATTCTTAAAACAAAATTATCAAGGTAAACTAACTTTGTAAGCCAGTAGCGGCTATCAGTCGAGGGTATTGATAATGTTGAAATAATCTATTATATAATGTTATATAAATGAATAAGTAAACGTAGCCATCGTATGTACGTTATATTTATTGGTGTATTGTGCATAAATTATGCATATATAAATTACAATATTTTTTTCTCCATTCAAAAATTTGAAAAACAAAATTTTCTCTCAATTTTAAATATGAACGTTTTTACTGTTTTTGAAGACAAATGATTAATTTCTATTTAAGTAGAGAGATAGTATAGAGAGGAAGAGAGACAAATAAAAAATGTGATCAGCACCGAAAAAATTAAATTGCGCTAAATTGTGATAATTTTTCAACGCAATTATTTAAATCTTTCGTAATAATTTTTTTTGCTCATCAAAAATTATTAGAAAACTTTAAATTACTTCTTAAAAGAAAAATAAAAAAAAAAAAACAAAAGGAAAATAAAGAAAATTTTAAAGACAAAAAGGGTGACAAAAAAAAAACAAATTACCTACGAAATTTGTGTAGACAAAAAATATAGACAAAAGTAATAAAATTTTCTCCATTTTAAATTAATATACATAAATATATATCTATATATAATCATTATATAAAAACGCACACTCACACAATTTCAATATTAAGCCAATATACAGGCATTTTACTCAAACCATTGCTACGTGTGTACAAATGAACTCAGAATAATATTAGAAGAAAATATAAAAAATAAAAAACGATAGTAAAGTGAGATTATTCGTGATGAAAGTCAAGGAATAGAAAGAAATGAAAATAATAAATAATTGGGGACATGGTTAAAGGGAAAAATTCCTTAAAAATAAGGGAAGAACAAAATTATTTAGAGGACAAGACAATCGACGTTCTGTCCATTTTTCACTACAAAATACATTTGTATGAAGAATATAACAATTCTGAATTAAGAATATAACAGAAATAACGTTCTATAAGCGGGTATGTTTTAGAATTGAATTTTTAAGTTAAAATTACCACTGTAAAGCAGCTAAAGATTTCATATGAAATGTACCTGACTATTTTTAAATGAATATGAATATTAAATCTTTTTATAGAAAATGAGCATCGGGAAAAAAACTATAAGAATAATAGGAATATTTGATTAAGAGATAGTTGTGTTTGTAGACAGGGTTCAAAAAGTTGTACAAC